CACACACACACACACACACACACACACACACACACACACACACACACATGCGAGTTCGCGAAAGAAAAACAACGAACAATCTAAATCCATGCCCGTTTTCCTTGTATGTAAAAGCACGTATGACATGCAGCCGTAGCGGCATTTATTTGTCAGTATGAGCAAGTAAACATTAAAAGCATAGAAGCGGGAACTTCCTATTTCGGGGCCAATATTTACGAACATCGATACCGGCCAAGGACAGTGTCTTGGATATCGTCACGTACATGGAGTCCTTTCTTTCAAACTATTAAAAGCTACACGTCTTTGAGAAAGTTAAAAACACGACATTCTACTCTCTTTAAACATTAGATATATCCCAGGACGCGTTTTCCTCACCATTGAAGAGCATTGCTTTTCGCTTCTTACTATGTTAACCCTATCCGTAAGTCGTGTTTTACTATCGTATCCATACGACGTGGGGAACTCTGTGCCACCACTTTCCAAAGTGGAAATTTGCTCGTTAATCCGATCCGTATGCTTTGCATAGCAGTCTGTCAAAATGATTTTTTTGAGAAATACTGAAAGTTTCAAAGAGATCTTCGTACTGGAAGTATTCTAAAATGTGAAGAATACACCCCCGGGGGTACAGAATGACCCCAGGGCGTATGGAAAGGGTTAAAGAAACAAATACGTGAAGTGGCCTGTGCATGTCTGGTTGTCACTGGTGATGACGAGTACACGTTTTTGATTATTTATGTTGGTTTAAGAATTTACTCTTAAACGCCCCATCCATCTCCCAAGGGCAACTTGAATGACGGATAACAAATCGATACAATGTTGTCTAGCAGGTAGTGCAATAGAACACATGAGAAACTAAAAGAAAGACGGGCAACCTTACGACGTCATTTTTTGTTATTTGTTGTTTATTTGTTTTGCTTTGTTTGTTTTTTTAACCACAAGAAATCGTTCCACAGTTTTTTTTATTATACATTTCACTCAGAAGGGTTTTAACAAGCGCAACCTGTCCCCTACTCCCCGCCCCCCAAATTAACACCCCC